AGAGGTTTGTTTATGGTAAAGAATTAGATTGTTTTACAGAAATCATATGACATTATTATTATTGCTTTAGATTTGATTATTCATATTAGAGTTGAAGGTAAGTCATATATGCGACTAGTGAAGCGTATAGATGTATTAAATTCACCTTATGTCAGCTTAGTTCTCCTCGTGTCGAAGAAGATGTGCGTTGATTATCGTGCACTAAATAAGTTGTGTACTAAGTTGTGTAATTAGTGCACTAATTAAGATTTGGTTTGGCCAATGCCCCTTTCGGTTTTCAGAGGGCGATGGATGACGTGTTAGGCAATTTCAGTTTGCAACTGCTTATTTACATGACTTTTTATATTTGAGAGCAACGCCGACGCACAGAACAGAGAGAATCTGAGAGGCCAGCATGACTCTTAGATTAAACACATAATAATATTTTATAACACATAATAATATATTAAACACGTAATAATTTATGTTTTAGGTCATGAGACAGGCGAGAATCTAAAATAGATATCCAAAATAATAATAATAATTCGTTTATTTGATTAAAACATGGTATACCAGGAGATGTAACAGAGACAATGCCAGTACAAATGCTCTCTTCTGCTGTCCTTTGTTGAATATTTGGATCACGAGGTGAGTAATGGCGAGGTAAGGCCTGCCCAGCACAAGTTGAATGTTGTACATGATTTCAAGGCGCCCGAGAGTGTGCAAAAGGCTAGGAAGTTCCTGGGAGTCATCAATTGTTTTCGTAAGTACATGCGTAACTATGCAGTTATTGCACAATCTATCACATTACTCATTTAAAAGGACCAACCCTGCGTTTGGAGCTAAAGTCAACAAGAAGCATTCGACAATTTTAAATTAATTTTAGTTAGTCGTTCCGTATTGGCGTTGTTCAGTCCAAATCCAGGTACAGATATTGCCTCCAGAATTGGTTTGGATGGAATCCTTCTTTACTAAAGTCTGCTTCGGTTTGTTTCGACGACTTTTGGAAACCCATAGCTTATTCTAGCAGGCAAACTGCCCCGGCTGAGCAACAATACAACACAAAATCATAGTTACGAGTTTTATGTTATGAGTCTACAGAAATCTAAGGTGTACATACATCGGCGGTGTAACTTGCACCATCATAACGGATTGTCATTAATTGCATTTGATATGGACCAAGCGAGACTTTACACCCTCGTCTCGTGCAGCTACGTGATGGCTCGAGGTACAGAGTTATAATTTTGATATTGAATATCGAGCAGGCAAGTTAATGGCGCACGTTGAGGTACTGAGTCGTAACCCCGTACGTACAGTCGTATGTTGTGTAGAAAAAGATTTAATTGAAATGTTACAAAGGGACAGCGACTCCTCGAACAATATATACGTGATTTGGTTTGAGACTACATATTCACACATTACTATACACATACTATACACAAACTATACGCATACTACACACAGAGTCGAATACATATTCGAAAATAATGATTTGTTAAGTAACCACGTACCACGGAGATCGGTTGGTCATTTGTACAATGCACAGCCATGTCATGATTACAGTGGTCACGTGAATTACCACAAGACTTATGATATGGTGTAGGAAGGTCGTTTAAGGCTCGCCTACGAGCTGCTAGCTGACTTTAAAATCATTCGCGAGAGTCTGTAGTGAGAAGTTAATGCCTCGTTTTGACGATCCTCATGTTATTACGAAGGTTCTGCCACATGCATTCGTCATACATTCTTAAGAGTACAAACACTTGTGATCGTTCTTACGAGAATGTTTTCGCGAGGGACAAGTTAAAACCTTCCCGCTTGTCGAACGATCATTCGGATTGATCGTTCACTTTCAACTTTTAAAAGCTGTGGTAATTATTGTTACCTTAGAATTATAACGAAGATTGTTACATTTTCACCAGTCTTCTTATGTTACTATTATTACTATTCACTTAGATTGATTCGATTGAGAACGGATCTGTTAACGATTTGTGTAACTGTCTGCAATTAAAGAATTACGATTTGGTTGAAACTCATGTGCTTATATGTATACAAACTGAATGATGTGTGTCTATATCTATACAAACTAACGATGTAGAATAACTATGCTCATTCAATCTAGGTATGGCACTGCTCACTACTTGAATTTATTTTGATCCCAAGTCCTTGTGTCGTAGGGCTAGTGAGTTGGAGTACTACGGTAACCACATAACTGATATGTTGTGATCGATGACCTACCTACTAAAATGCATACACCAGCAGTCACGCTCACACACACACAACAACATACGCCCACACACACACACACACACAACAACATACACGCGCTCGCACATACACACACATAACGTGTTCACACTCACATGTCGACACTTACCCCTATGTACAAGTACGTACACACACACACACACACACACACACACACACACACACACACACACA